TTGAACCGCCAGCCGTCTGGTTAGCAGGCAAGTGTCTTAGCCACTATGCTACCAGAGCTCCCAACATATTCATAGTGGATGTTATTAAAAATGAAACATGAGAATCTGGCCAATGTACCAGTTCCAGCTTTCACAGTTTTCTTTCAATTTTGCAAATTTTGCAAGGTTTTTCCCTCTTTAGAACACTTTCATATGCTGTTTTCTCTGCTGAGAATAGTATTTTCCTCTTTCTTCAGTTTGCTAATAAGCGTCCTGGTGGTGTAGTGGTTAAAGTGATCAGCTGCTAACTGCAAGTCAGTAGTTGAACCCAGCAGCTCCTCCATGAGAGAAAGATGTGGCAGTCAGCTTCCGTGAAGATTTCAGCCTTGGAAACCCGGAAAACCTAGGGCAGTTCCACTCTGTTCTATAGAGTTGATGTGAGTCAGAACTGGGTTGATGGCAAGGAGTTTGGCTTGGTTTTTGTCACTTTGCTAATTGCTTCTCATACTACAGGTCTCATTAACTACTACTCCTACAATGAAGGCTACCGTGATACTTCTTTCCACTCTTGATACCAGTTTAACTTGGGACCAGCCTCCAAAAGCAGGTATCATACTCTTTATTTTTATTTCATATCAAATGAGTTGGAATCAACTCAACAGAAAAGAGTTTGGATTTTTTTTTTTTTTTTTAACAAGTAGTATCTGTTTATGTGTTTTACTTTATGCTCATATGTATCCTTAATATTTCCTAAACTGTATGAGGGCAGGAACACTGTCTAATTTATTCATCAGAGACAGTTTTAGCACAATGTCTGGTATATCACCATCATGTAATATTAGTTTAATTATATTAATTAATTAATCAATTAGGAATAGAGACTGTTTTAATTAACACTGATAATGCTGAATTCTAGAATGTTTCATTGGTTTGCTAAGATGTATAATAAAGATGTTGAGCAAAAAGTATTAGTGAACTTGTCTCAGTGTCTCTTCACATGATAGAGATATTGTGAGATATGACATAATTTACAACACAACAGAATCTCTTCTGAGATTTTCCAAAGACAAAAGAAAAAATGACCATAACATAAATCAAGTGATTATTAGCCTACCCTTAAAGTATGAATGAAGTATTAAAAATTTAAATCAAGCAAAAAAAAAAAAAAAACAAATCCATGGCCATTGAGTTGATTCTGACTCATAGCAGTGCTATAGGGCACAGTAGAACTGCCTGCATAGGGTTTTCAAGGCTGTAAATCTTTACAGAGTAGACCGCTTCATCTTTCTCCCACGGAATAGTTGGTGGGTTCAAACTACCAACTTTTTGGTTAGCAGTTCAATACCTTAACCACAGCACCATCAGAGCTCTTAAATCAAACAGAGGACTTACATAAATAAGGTAAATTAATCTCTTCAAATATGTACTGTGCTTAATTGTAGATAACTTAATGATCATAGTATTCAGAAAAATAATTATTACTTGGAAACAAGTTATATTAAAAAAATAAATAAATAAATTGCCTTATTTTTCCTTTTAGAATACATACACATATTTTAGTAGTAGAACAATACACTCCCCCCTAAAATATGAAAAACCTACTCTGGTGGCATAGTGCCTAAGGCATTTGCTGCTAAACAGAAGGCTTGTGGTTCAAACCCACCAGGCACTCCTTAAAAGGCAGATTGGGCTTCACTTCCATAGTGATACTGCCTCGGAAAGCCAAGGAGGGATTGTAATGAGTTGGGTCCTACTCAATGACAGTGAGGTGTTTTTCTTTTTTTTTTTTTTTTTGGTTATGTGCTGAAATGTAAATATAGTACATTTTCTTTATTTGTATGTACATCTTAGTTGTATAGAGCAATGACCCAAACAATAGCTCTCAATCATGGTTGTACATAAGAATTACTTGCAGGAAATTTTAAAATACAGATATCCAAGACCAAAATTTCAGAAATGCTGTTTCAAAAGATGTATGGAATAGGTTTGGAGTAGGAGTACTTTTTTTAAAGCTTTATGGTTGATTCAATATGAGGCTAACTTTACCATTTATTTATTTATATGACATTGTTTATGGTTTAGAAAAATATCTGATCTTTTCTACAAAACAAAACATAAATAATGAAGTAAGACTGAGAAATTTTATTGGTAGCCTCGATTACCTGCTTTCATTGGATGAAATTGTTGCAATAACTCGCACACTTGAAAAGAGATATAAATATAGACATTTGATCATTTCTTACTTCCTCTAATTTTCTGTTGAATTAAATACATTTAGTTAATTTAATTTGACATATATTTATTGAGTGCTTATTATAATTTGAATATTTGCACAGCTTCATGTCAAGGAGAGTTACAGACACACACAAGTTTTCTAAGTCAAAAACAAGCATGCTAAGTGCCGTAACAGAGGACTGAGTACTATGGGATACAATGTAGACACACACACCCAACCAACCATCAGAGAGTTTCACTGATTGAGTAAACTTTGATAAGGGTCTTGAAGGATGAATACAATTTCCATAGGACAATGTAAAGAAGAACCAAGGAAAGATTTGGACCCATGAAATTAGTTATGTATTTGGGAGTTTGGCTGGCTCAGTGAGAACAAAGAAAGGAATGTGGGGCTTCTAACCAGATTGCTAATGGGTTCAGATGTCCTCTACACACATTCTTTACCCTGTGAACATTGTAGAGGAACAGATGGTATGAAAACAGGAGACAAACTTAGATGCCTATTCCTCTAAGGAATGTTCAGTGATGTTTGGGGAAATTTTACATACATGAAATAAAGGATAATATAATATTTATTCTAAATTAGATATGATATTGACAAGTACTATACACTTGTAGAAATGTAGAGAACAGTACTGGAGACAAAGAGAACAGGGCAAACAGAATCACAGCACCAGTTTAACTGGTTATTCCAATTCAGCTGAAACACAGGGCTATTGGAAAGGAGTAGTGGGAAAAGATGAGACAGGGCAAGACTGTAGAAGGTCTTGAACACCAGCGTGTGTATTTAAGAGTTTTTTAAGTGGCAAATATGGATTCAGTAGAGATTTTGAGTAGGGAAGCAAGAAAATAACAGAATTAAATCTTTACAGTGAAACACAATGAAGGAAGGGTGTAGGTAGGAGGGATAGGCCCATGGTTACTGCAGTAGTCCCAGCAGGAGAAAATCAGATCCAGAACCTACTGGCAGATTAACCAAGAAGAGGATGTGTCAGCCTTTCAGCTATCGTTGAAAATAAAGAGAAACGTGGGATGGGACTTACAAAGTTTGGATATGATAGACAGGGAATAAGTATCCACTGAGTTTTTCAGCAAAAGAGTGATTAGAAAACTTCATGAACTTCCATCACTGACATAGCATGATTACCCAGTTTTGCTACTTGATTAAGACTCTTTAACTCAAGCTATTTTATTTTGACATGTCTAGAGAGAGCTGACATCTCTAGTTGTGACTAAAAACACCAGAATATGAATTCATCCTGGCTTGATTTACCACTGTCTTACTTATCTAATGTTGCTATAACAGAAAAGCCACAAGTGGGTGGCTTTCACAAAGAAATGTGTTTCCTCACAGTTGAGGATGCTAGAAGTCTGAATTCAGGGCAGTGGCTCAAGGGGAGGGCTTTCTCTGTGTCAGCTCTGGAGGAGGGTCCTTGTCCCTTCTTAGTTGCTACTCCTGGGCAATCTTCATACAGCTTGACATATCTCTTTTCCCATCTCTGGTTGCTAGCTTGCTTTAATCTCTTTTATATCTCAAAAGAGATTGACTCAAGGCACACTTTATACTGATCTTGCCCAGTTAACATAACAAAGACAACCTCTTCCCAAATGAGATTATAACCACAAGCATAAAGGTAAGGATTTGCAATTTATATTCTGGGGAATATAATTCAATCTATAACAGCCATCATAAAATAAATTTAAAAATCATACAAATGCTAAAAATATGTATTGGTTTATTCCAGATATAAATCTCATAATCCTTCCCTAATCAGGGAAGATTAAGAACTAGCATTGAACTACCCTATTCTGTAGGTAGAAAGTAGAGGATGGATAATTCTAAAATTAAAATGTCCTCTGCATATGGATAGTAGGCATAAATGAATATTATTGTATGAGTGAATTAAAATAGATAACTATAGGATAGTTAAAAATATCTAGCTTATCAATATTAATTTAATTCTTTTGATGGTGAAAATATTTCTGGCTTAAAAAAAACAACTTTCATTTGATCACATTAGGGAAATTAATAAAGTAAAAGTGATTCTGCATGATGAAAACAATTAAACTGAAAGCAGAGTTAAAACATAACCACAATGGAGAAAAAGTTTGAAAAACAAATGACCTAAACTCTGAAACATATTTATAAGAAATGAAAGCAGAAACAAAGTTCATATTCAACTCCTCAAGAAACTGTATTTATACTGCTCCAGGTCCACGTATTTTTCAAAGCTTGAAATTGAAAATTTCTCATAGTAAATAATTTTTTTAGAAATGTAAGATCCCCAGTAATATATGAAGTCATATTATTAATCAACACAAGCAGCCCACAGATTAACATAATTTACATCACTGAAGATTAACGAAATGAAACTGACTAAATTAACATCGACTTACCTGTTATATAGCAATTGCTAAACTAAAATTCATTACATTCTGTTTATTACTGTTCTGATTATAATGTCCTTTTCTATTCACTTCCATGTATATCTGCATTTATCTAAAGAGAATTGGAAAACAAATACTTACTAAAATGGTGGTAACAATCAAAGAACGATTGGACAAGGAATCTGTGATGTTGGCTGGCTTTCCCTTTTGACTTTCTGTCATGTTCAGGCCGCTGGCTGGATCCCAAGTTCCAATCTACAAAATAGCATATGTACTTTGTAAATTGTCCATCAGGCACCTGGGAGAGAGTACTGAAGGGAAAGCTAAGACTGCTAACACTTATTATTCACCTCTGCTGCACTATCTCCTGTCGTTAACGTGAAGGCTGCTTGTTTTAAGCATGATTCACTGCTCTGTGAAATGTGCCCAGTGAAGTGTGACATTAAGGAACAAAATGATCCACTGCACTTTTATAGTCAGTAAGGGAGCTTAATTTTCCATTCAGACTTTTATTCACCAAGATAAACCACATTTGTTGATACCTTGATAGCTGGCTAGAAACTTGTTAATAGCATCTATCTTTTACCATTATGGATCTACTTCATCCTCTCATTACAAAGATATGTTATAATATACAGACAAACTAAAGGACAGAGCAAATCCTAGAGATTTAGGATAAATTAGTAGACAAAAATAGGCTTCCAGGAGGCATTGACTGGTATTCTGCATAACCCACAGGATGGCAAAACCATTCTCAGAATTACCTCATCAGCTTTTACAAACACGTTAATTGTTGTTATGTGTTGTTGAGTCAGTTCTGACTCACCCTAGGTGAGACAGACTGAAATACTCCCTGGTCCAGAATGACTCTCACAGTCATTGCCATGCTTGAGCCCGTCATCAGAGCCACTGTGTCAATCTCTCTCATTGAGGGTCTTCTTTTTTTGTGACCTTCTATTTTACCAGCATGATATGCTTCTGCAGGGACTTGTCCCTTCTGACAACATGACCAAAATATGAGAGACAAAGTCAAGCCATTCTGTTTCTAAGGAGCATTCCAGCTGTATTACCTTCAAAACAAATTTGTCCATTCTGTGGACAGTGCATGGTATATTCAATTTTCTTCACTGATACCACAATACAAAGGCATCACTTCTTCTGTGCTCTTTCTTATTCATTGTCCAACTCTCCAGCTTTTATATTCTCATGAGGTGATTGAAAATACCATGGCTTGGGTCAGGTACACCTTAATCTTCAAAGTGACATCTTTCCTCTTTAACACTTTGAAGAAATCTTTCATAACAGATGTGCCCAATGCAATATGTGGTTTGATTTCTTGACCAATGCTTCCATAGGTATTGATTGTGGATCCAAGTAAAATAAAATCCTTGACAACTCTAATCTTTCCTTCTTTTGTCATGATGTTGCTTATTGGTTCAGTTGTATTTTTGTTTTCTTTATGTTGAGGTATAATCCATACCGAGGGCTGTAGTCTTTGATCATTACAAGTAAGTACTTAAAGTCTTCTTCACTTTCAGCAAGCAAGGTTATGTCATCTGTATACCACACATTGTTAATTAGTCTTTTTCTAGTTCTGATGCCATGTGCTTCATACAGTTCAGTTTCTTGGCTTATTTGCTCAGCACACAGACTGAATAAGTATGGTGAAAAGATACAACCCTGACACACACTTTGCTGATTTTAAACATGTTTTCATACCTTTGAAAATACTCCAGATAAGGAAATAAAGGACAACACATTCAAATACTTATAGTTCCCAAATGTACTCTCTCTACTATATGCATTTAATTGTAATTTATTTAACTATAGGTAATTTCCAACTTGGAATATATTTGAGTTTCAATGAACTGCACTTATGACCTTTTATTTTTTGGCACATCTTATTTTTAGTAATATGTACTACATACAATGTTCCAATGAATAATTTTCTGATGTTATCATTCTCAGATGTACACTCACAGATATTTAATGCATGATTTACAATTCAAAATATTGCTGTATAGCAGGCTATGACAATAATAATAATATACAGATATTCCACTTGTATCAGAATTGACTTAAGATGGAGGATGGAAAGGAACCCCATCACAAATCAGGGACTACCTGTGATACTGTCTGTTAAATTAGGTCAACTTTCAGCATTTGAATATTTTCTACTTACTGGACATAGTCTTTGGGATGACACAGACACGCCTCTAGAATGCCACTAAATGCATAGGTCAGGTGGTTTATATGCCCCTGTATCATTGC